TCGGCTTTTGGCCTTCTTTCACAGATGACAATTTTAAGCTCTCTTGTAGCTTTTTTGGTTACAAAGCAAACATTCTCACTCCTTCCCTCACACCCCAAAATAACTTTAAAGTCAAAGCCTAGGACTAACAGCAGCCTGTGCATTTTCACTAAGCTTGATGGTGGCCTCTCCCTGTAAAACTTAAAATCTTTTGCAATGTCTTTGCGTGCATAATAGCTGGCGATAGTCAGAGATCTGGGCACCCAAAGGTGCAGAACAAGCTCTGTTCCTGAGCCCCTGCGGGCACCTAATTTAGTTTGAGAGTCAGCAGTCATTCACCAGTGGAAATCAGGTGCCAAATTGACTTTGCAAAGCACCTAAAAGCAGGTTGGGCACCTAGCCCTCTGTCTTATAGAGCTAACCCCGTGACAAGGAAGCCTAAATGTTGAAGTAGCTTGTTTTCTTGGGGTTTTGGGGCTTGGTTTGTTTGTTGGTTGTTTTTTTAAGGAAGAACTTGACCTATTGGTTTTTACCGCACTGTATGGTAGGTTATGGTGCTCTGAATCATCGCTGCAGTGTTATACACTAATCCAGGGCAGCACAGGGAATGCTGACACTAAACTCCAGCCAAGGCTTGTGGAAGGACTGGGTTCCCTCCATGCATTTTCTGGGTGCAGCTGCCTCTTGCTGCTGCCTCTGTGACCCTGCTGATCCCAACCTATTCAGAGTGCAGCATGTGCTGAGTATTCATTTCGATGCTCAGGAAGCTGGAGGCAGAGAGCTGTTAATGACTGCACTTAGAAAAATAATAAAGAGCCTTTCCTGGAACAGTCTCAAAGCAACATGTTTCCTTCCTTGCATTTTAGTGGGAAATCTCTTACTATTTTTGAGCGCTTGGGGCAGTGCCTTATACTTCCTTCTCGTTTGGCTAGCAGAGTAGAAATGGCTGTCTTAGTCTGACTTTCTTTCCCTCATACTTACCAAAAAGCACTTTGGTTTTCGATTGCAACCAACCTCTCTTCCAGTTCCAGCTCCCAGTGGCAATTACGGATTCTGTCTTGAGTCTGCCTGCGATCTTGTATGTTCTCCTGTAGTAAGATGTATGCTACAGCACAGATTCTGTGCAGCCATCTATAATAATCTAGTTTATTGTGGTTTTATCTCTTCTTCCCAGTAGCGGTGTACTGCCTGTCCTTGGGGCTTGGTCTAGTGTCTTGAGCACTATTTGTGTTTGAATAGGCTTGTTTGTATCTCGGCTCTGGTTGTTAATGCTCTTGGCATGGCTCCCAGGTCTCAACAAAGTTACCCAAATTGATCTGGGATGGCCTTGCGACTCATTAGTCTCTGAGAATTAATCCCATGTAGCTCAGTCTCATAAAAAGTTAACTCCTAGCTCTGTTTTACCTTTTGCATTAAGCTGGCATGCCAAAAGAAGAAGAATAGCGAGGAGCACAGTGACTTGATCAAGGGGAAAACAAGCTTTGCCTGCCATAGGTGTAGCAGTACCCAGGCTGTACCTCGCAATAATCCCAGGTGACAAAGTTTTCTGTGGGAAGATTTCTTTCTCTTTTTTGGGGAACTATGGGGATCATAATAAGAACATTGCTTCTGATGCACTTGTGCCGTTGCTCCTGCTGTCAGCCAAGTACCGTAATTTTCCTACAAAAGTCACAGCCCTCCCTGGATCCTCCACCCTTCTTGCAAACTCTTTGCCTTATTTAATAGCCTGGGACAATTGCAAAAAGATTTTCTGTATTGCCTGTTGGTAGAAAGACATCTTACCTTTAGCTGCACCTTTGCTTGGACTTGTTCCTGCACGCCCGAGGCTGGTGTCCGTGATGGGTTTTACATCTGTCTGTGATGGGCTTTACATCTGACTGTGAAGGGTGCTTTTTTATTTTGGAGAGTAAAACAATTATAATCTCTGTGCCAGTACTCATCCTGCAGCAATACAAGATGGGGCAGTTGCACTGAACCATCTGGGTATCCTCTTTTTCCTTGCAGATGGCATTGCTCGTCTCAGATAAACTCCCTCATTCTAGACCCCCTGGTAAGAGCCTTTCTGGGGTGCTGCAGTCACCGCTGTCTCGGCACTGATCCTGACGCCGAGGCACCAGCGCAGTTATCCTGTGTGATTTGTCTGCTTTTCCCCACCACCTCTCCTTCCGTCGTTACCGTAACTCTTGGCAGACTTTTAAAACTGATGCTGAAATTCCCTAAATTGTCCCTTTTCACAGTGCAGTGCTCAAGCAATTGTTTGTTCTTTTGGAGGCTGCAAATCTGAGGGGTAAGAGAGCTCGATGGGAGGCTGAAGCCTTTTACTGGAATCTGAAAAATAGCCGTAGATAAGCTCCTGCACAGACAGAATATAGAGCGAGGGAGGCTTGATCGTACCTGCAGGCATCTTCGTCTTTTGGAAACTAACAGCCCTTTTGTTTCTGCACCGCACCTTTCGCTGACAATCTTAACTTACAGTCAGTTCCCTAGGTACGTCCTTCCTCTTGATGTCCCTACCTCTAGCAATATTCTTTCTTCTAACTCATTTTGCAGCTCATTCTTCACTCGGGTCTTCCTAGGCGAGTAAATCTTAGCAGAGAGAGACTTCTGTCAGCAGAGCATGCAGTTTGCTTTTGTTTTCTGTTCTACTTTAAGCCTATTTTTAGGAGGTTGCTCTGCAGCTCTTTGGTTTTGTTTCATGGTTGGTGCAACCTCTAGCTTTAATTTTGTGGTCATATTAATGTAAAGTTTATCCTTATGATTTATGGGAATAAACCATAAATGTGCTTGTACTGGTGTACTAGTAGGCGCATTTGTGCTGGAGAGGGGAGCTGTGCTGGCAAACTTAAAGCAGAACAATTTTTGCGTACGCCCAAGTGTTCATTGGGATCTGAAGTATTTCAGCTTGTCTTGCAAGGCACAGATGCAAGAGTGTTGGGCACAAGCATTCCTGCAATAACAATAGTCACATGCAAGTACAACAATAGAGCCTTATTTTTAGAGCATTTTTCATGCTAACTCTATCCCCCAACATTCAGCGGCGTTAATGACCTGGCAGTTTCTTCCATTTTAACACTGAGGTTTAAGGAAAAAGGGTTTTTTGGTGAGGAGGATTTGAGGTGATCAAGGAAGAAAAAAGTGCTTTCCAGTTGGTGGGAGCTGTGAGGGTCCCAGTGTTGGGCACAGGAGATGTTGGGCCACTGTCAGAGGGTAAGACAGGAGGGTAAGAGACCCAGCAACGTCATTGGAGGGGGTGGGGGGCCAGTTGCTCATGACTTTCACAAACCAGAAGAGGCGTGTCTCAGATTTACAAATCTTGGCTTGAGACTGCTTCAGATCTCAGCTACTTGCCAGTAATTCAGCTGGAAGAGGTCCGAAAAGCTTCACAAACACGAAAACCCAGGCTGCTCGTACCTGGATCCTGCCACGTGTTAGGGCAGTCGAGTGTACTTACCACTCACGTGTGGGATATTTGTGGTAACGTGTGCTTGTGAAAGTGTGGCTGTGGGTAACAAGACTAAAGACAATTAAGAGTCTGACTGTGGCCCTTTCTGTGGCATCATGCTGATGCTGCCAACCAAAACCATGACTTGTCCTGTGGCTACTGGCATTCCTCGGAAACTCTTTCCCTCTGTAAAGCTGAAATAGTGCATTTGAAAGGATGTAGAGCATCTTGGATGAAAGGATCCATAAATGCCAAATGTGCTTTTGAAAATGCGTATCCTGCTTCTCGTGTGTCTTCCTAATCTGTTTCCAAATTCTAGTTTTTAAAATGGGTTCCATGAGGTGCCAACACGTGTCCTGGGGGAAATCCTTTTCAGGAAGGCTGGTCTTTCACTGCTGTTGTTGATGCATGTAATATGTCTAATTCCTTTTAAGGGAGTTAAAATATTACCCCTAGGTGTCTGTCTAGACTAGGATAACGGGCTTGGTTTTTTCTTAATGGGCTAGTTAACATGCTTTGGGACCACTTCAGTTTATGGACTGGTGTATCAGGGGGAAGGTAGCATATGGGCTGACTTTAATATCTGCAGGAAGAATTAAACTTTTAAATAAGTGGAAATTGTGATTATTGAGGTAAGCAAAACTGGCTTATCCCCAGACCAGTGTCCCAGTCAAGATCTTTATCGTAACTAGAGGATCTGATGGGCAGCTCAGTTCATTTGGACGAGAAGGGGAAGTTTCAGCTTTCGTTGGATACCTGCAGCCTTTTACCCTCCAGCTCTTGCAAGTACCAAGAGTCTGTTTAAATGGCAAGAATACCTGTTTAAATTTTAAAGGTGATATCATCCTGTCTATGTACAAACCTGGGCATCACTTTTAACCTCCCTAGAGCTTCACACCTAGACAGTGGTTCACTGCCAAATTTAAAATGATACCTTCTGTTAGTTTGTAATGTACCTGCCAGCTAATGCCCTTATCCAGGGAGGCAGTAGGGGACTGGGATGAGTAAGGTGTGTGCGTGCATGGATCTTGGTGGGGAAAAGGGGTGATTGAGAAATTCAGCAGTGATGGTGGGAAAAGGCAGAAGTTTCCTAGTAGACTGGGAGAATTGTGTGCAAATGAGGGGTGGCCTGGGCTGGGGGAAATGAGCTATCTACTAAAAAGACTCTCGAGTAGAAGGTCCTATGCTGGACCTCCTTCCTGCTTCCCATCCCAGCAGTTCATTTGCACTTTCTTGTTTCCTGGCGGACTTCTGTAAAAAGTCATAAGGAAGAACAATAGCAAAGCAACTTCCCAGGCACCCACTGGAAAAGTATGTGGAGCTTCACATCCCTGAAACAGTGGTAGTGGGAGGTTTGTGAATCTCCTCCAGATTACAATATGCTTTGTCATCACAAAATTGGCAAAGGCTTGTCCAGCTGTGACTGTGGCCTTACACAGCTCTGGGAAGACCCTTCTCTTCTCTTTCCATTGTGTAGAAGGAGGCACAGCAAACATTGCAGTGTATAATCTCTCCCTGTGCTGGTACTGGTGCTGCAGGCAAAACTCTTCACTTCCATCTGTCTGCCTTCCCTTTGCAGGGGCTTGCCTAGATTAGGGATCCTCACGGCTACCTTGGATTACAGTTGATCCTGTCTACACCAGGCATTGCAAACAGGTTAGTTAAAACATAGTTGTAAATATATTTGATTGAAGGTAGTAGGTATGTATTCTGAAACATGGAGATCTTCTTCTGTTAGGTTTAAACTTTGAGAGGACAAAACAGCTCCAAAGTGGTAAGTAGTCTCCTCTTCAGTGCAGCTGTATCAAAACTTGTAGGTCTAATGTCCATTACAGGGGTGAATTGCCACCTCCTTCATCGCTGAGAGCAAGCTCTTGTGCCCAGGTTCAGCATGTAATAGATTTTTTTCATTTATGAGCCTCCGTGGTTCTGAGGGGATTTTGTATGGTTTGAGTTCTGCAGGTGCTAATTTGATATTTTGATTTGTTTGAGGGTTTTCTTTTTTAATTCTCTTGACTCTTCACAAGGGAATTCTTCCAGCAAGTTTCAGGTGGGTCTGCTGACTGAATTATTTATTAAGCAATCTGCAGCATGCTTGGTGTATTGCACACAAAATTGATGAGGCGTCTGCACCACCATGTTCACACTCTTCCCTCAGATTTTCCAAAGCCTCAAAGTAAAGTAGATTGTCTCCAATTCTTTCTTCATTAGACCAATAATCATCTCCAAAACAGTGTCTTGTAGTTCTGAACTTAATAGAAGCCCTCTGCTATCAGTAAGGCCTCAGGCTGCCCAAAATGCTCTCTTGTTAATGGACATTTAAAACATGCTGCCTCACAGCACACACAGCAAAATACTTAACTTTATTATTCATCAGCTGTGACTTGATTACTTTTTCCTTTAAAAATGCATGTGATCCCTCCCAGCTAAGGACCTGAATTAACAAAAGGCTTTGCGCACGAGTTCCTTGTAGAATCAAAACTTTAAGTATCTTCATACCCTACAAATGCCATTCATGCAGCAGTTGAAATAGTGGAGCCTACGTGGGTGTGCATTTAACCTCTACAGGGTTTGTTTTCTCTAGCTGCAAAGCAGTCGTAAGTGGGTTTCCCAAGACCACAGCACAAGGCAGTGATGGAGCTGGGCCTAGGACTTGGCTGAAGGTTGCTGTTGGGCTCTGCCTCTGTTTGCAGAAGAGCCCCTCGTCTCTCGGATGCTATCACAACGCGTGCCCCCCGTGTCAGCTCGACATCAGCCCAGCACCTGGCGGGCCCTGAACCACTCCACAGAATGTTTCTCATTTACCTCCATGCCAGAAGTAGGAAGTAGGCGATGTCCTGAACAAACCAAGAACGAGATTAACTTCGGGGAAAAAGTCATCGTTGCTCTGTCAGTGCTTGACACCCTTGGATAAGCGCTGCTGGAGAAATGGTGAAGCGTGGCCGTTGTCCTGGCTACACCTGTGCAGCTTGCCAAACATCCCCTTGCAATGCCACGGTTGCTTTGGTGAGGAGTTAAAGTTGTGGCTGAAGATGGGAATGAGATCCGCGACAGAGCAGATGCACTCTTGGATGCAAAGCTCGTGTTTATGCTGTTTTTCCGCCTGCTGTGCGTGCTCCAGAGGAGTTGCTCCCGTTGAGAGCGCTGCTCTAGACAAGCTAGTCTTCAGAAAATTTGTACGCCTAAGTGCCCTGTGCAAACTCCAAGGGGTGCCTGGTTATCAGCACAGCACACACTCAAGACTGCTGCGAAGTGTGGCATTGGGTTTACTACTCTTTACAGACAGCCTATAGATTATTTGCATGAGTTACTAAGGCAAGAGAGAGAAAAGCACATACAGTCTTGGGGAGCACAGCCTATTTTGGTTGAAAATGTCTTTTTGGTTTTCTGTGAGACGGCAGCTGCTTGTCAGGTCTGTGCTGACAGAACTTTGAAGCACGCTTCAGTAATCTGTCTGCATTTCTTCGCTTCCCCTTGCTGTTTCCAACATGCTAAAAATCATCAAAACAGTGAAATACTGTCCCGCGGCTGCAGGAAGAGGAATGAGACTGTGTTCCCAGTATCCAATCATCTGCTTATTCTGCCTGTTCTTAAGAATAGAATTTATTGAAGCAATTTATCCTGACTAAATGTGATATAAATCTGAGCACATGTATGTACATACCAGTCATATTCTGTAGTGAACGAGCAGCTAAATCTTTCTTTAAAGAATGAGTGAATCCTCCTGACACTTTGCAAGATCAAGTAAACTGAGGTTTTTGCAGTGTGTTGGTCCCGATTTTTTTAATAGAGCTGCTTGTTATGCTATCAGAAGTAGCTGGCAGGCAGCCTGAAATGCCATTGGGTTTTTGTTTTGTTTTCCGGCTCTCCATTTCAGTTAGTGTTATCAAATCCCCAGGAGTGACAGCTGATCCATTTCTTTAATTTCTTAAATAGCTGTTATATGAATTGGAAGCATAAATACGAGGTAGCGTGACCCCGAAGTTCTTCATATTGGCGAAGGCAGCAGGCTGCTTAAGTGGCCGCAGTAAGGACAGATCTCTGACCTGTGTTAATTAAAAAAGCATAGGGTTGGCTGCCCTGTGAAATACAGCAGTCTCCCTCCATAATAATTATGCTGCATGTTTAACAATAAGACTTGTTTGCTGATGGAATAAACACATCCCCAAGCTCATCCCACACAACCGAGTTTAAACGTAGGAGGGTGATTTAAACAGTCTTCAAACACTTCCAGCACCCGCCTGACTTTGACAGCAAGGGGCATTACAACTGTCCTTTAAAGTTTTGTGACTTTGCTGCTCTCTCAGTACCATGGCTCTTGACTTGGAGCTGCTTTAATCACTTGGCAATTGCTGAATTTGGTGCCGGACTGGCAGAGGGCCTCTGTTTTTTGCGATTAGTTTGAGAACAAACTGTAAAAAGTGATGCTCCAGGCTCCTTTTGTAGACCAGCTCACCAGCACACCTGGCTGTGAGGACTCAGGGGAGCTTTCAGGCTCCCGGATGGCCACGCGCTTCGCTTGTCAGCTGGAAGTGTGGTCATTCCTGGTGCTATTTACACCGTCAAAGTGCTGTTCAAACATGAACCCGTGAGCCCCACAAGTGCAAAGTCGTGCCCCTCACTTTGTAGGCAGGTAACCTATTTGTCAAAGCCCCCACAAATCACTGACTAAATAGGGATTGAGAAATCTAGAACTAATGACTCTTGCTTCTACTGGGAGCCTGGGTTGTGCTGGGAGCTGTGGGACAGATCCTTGTCTCTTACGGGCAAGGAGGACAGGCGCAAAGTAAGACTTGGGAGGGGTAAAAACAAGGTCCAAGTTGTCCAGGAGAGCAGTTGTTGACTTTTATTTGGTCTTTATCCTGATATCCTAGTCTTACCAGCCACCAGACTGCAAAGGTGATGGTAAAATAACTCTAGTAGTCATGGAGTTGATGTGTCCTTTGGGTTTGGTCTGATTTATCTTACTGTTTTCTTACAGAGAGAGTAGTAATTGGGCTGCCTCTGCTAGGAGTGGGTGATGAAGGACTAAACCCTGTCTCTGGACCCATTCAGAGCTGTAGCTTTTTGCGCAGCTAACTGGAAGGTTTGGGTGCAATGGTTTTGGACCTCAAGTGCAGGTGATAAAAAGTGTTCAATCAGTTTTGCGTTTCCCTTCCTTGCAGTGTCAGGGAGTTGATCTGAGCAGTGGTTTGGTATCGCAAGACGGTTTGACCTCTTCATCCCTCTTTGCTAGAGACTGCTTTTGCATGTTAAAGCTTCCTGAGGAAGCCTGGGCTTCCCTCTGCCTTCAGAGCATGTGGTGACAGCAGCTCGTATGTCCACTGGATGGACGTAGGCTGCAGCAGTTGCATGTAAGTCAGCTACTTCGGGGGCCTGAAGGAGATTCCTCTTGGAGGAGGATCAGGTGGTTGCGGATGGAGGTGGGATCCCCCTTCGTTTAGCACGCAAGAGCAACGGGTCAGTATTTTGGTTTCTCGAGTTCCCAGTTTGGAGCTTTGGTAGACGTTCAGAAGGACGGTACGAAGAGTCCTGTCTTTATAACATGTCCTCGTTCGCGCTCATCTTGCTGTCACCTGCACCCGTGTCACCTCAAGGCTAGCCTTTGCCAGGGTTTTAATCTTCTTGGTGAAGATACAGAGCCGCTGCCATCTCCTGCTGCACCACCCTCCAGTTCTGCAAGCCCCATGTCACTGTGGGCTTTTCTGGGGGGCTGCTGTGGTGGATAGATGTTCCTGGCCATCTTTCTTGCTTTTATTATTAAGCTTATCCTATACTAGCAAGCATTTTGGCTGCTTGCCCCTTTCATTTGTGAGAGGGCTAGTTTTCCTTTGTGAGTTCATGTTTGCATAGGCCCTGGAGTTTTGCTTAATAAATCCAAACATAGTCTAGTGTTGTGGATGTCTCTCCTCTTTTTGTGGGAGAAGAACTGGCAGCTACTTTCTTGTAGCTTTTGGTTGTGGCCATTATGTGCTGCGGCTGAGACGGCGCTCGGGGAGGGGAATTCCACCTCTTGTAGCCACCCATTTTAGTTGCACGCTGCCCTAGCACGTGGTAATAGAAAAGTAATCTTTTTTTTTTTCATATTAAGCAATAATTATTTCTGTGTCTTTTCAAAAAAAAAGCAAAAGGGGCTGTTTTTCTGTAGCACATGCATTCACCCTCTGCTGCTTAGTTGCATTCTTGGAGCACTTTCTCATATAGCTCCTAAAAATAACAAGTCTCCCCACCCTCTCGCCGCTGCTCAGTGCGTGTGTATATTAATGGTTAGAAATGCAAAAAGCTAACTAAAAGGGCCTGTGTCTTCGTGAACGCGTTTTGGCCGCGTCCTGGTTTCATTTCTGCTCTTGGCTGTAGCAAGCTGACATGCGTCGCTGAAGCCAAGTGCTGAACTTGGAGTAAGAGATGCTGGAAGCAACATGAACAGCCAGAACATGTTCGCACAGTAAACCCCCTGAAGAGATAGCATTTGCTTTATTATAGCTTTTTAAAATCCTGCTATAAAAATATCAGTGGGTGGAGGGAACCATTATTTCTTGAATTTGAGGTGGTGGGGGTTACTTTATTTACTCTTATTTTTTATTAATAAGAATAGCTTCACTTGTAGGATAATAGGACTGAGTGTTTTGTTATCCTTGGCTATAATCTGTGATAAACTACCCCTGCCATCAGCCTTGTAGTTTACCCACTAGGGAGCCAGATTATTGCCTTGTAAAACGGAGCACCACTCCTATAATCCCTTAATTAATTAAATGACAAATTTTAGTTCTCTCCCATTGAAAATATAACTTGTACATAGAGAGGACTTGGATTTATTTGATCGCTTCTTGCTTGCACTTTTTTTCTTCCTTCAGATTGTCACTGTCTTTGCTTATGTATCCGTGCTTTCTACTGTAAATACTGAGGGCGGGTGAAGCAGGCTGTGCCCTTCCTCGACACCCTCCGTCTGGGGAGTGTTTCGTAGGTCTCGGCTGCGCCGGGCGGTCCTTTGCGAGAGATGAGCGTTGTCCCCGTCTTGCAGGTGGTGCCACTGAGATGCAGAAAGTCCCTTGACCCCCTGGAGAATTGGTGGTGGGCCCCTCAGTGGGAGCCCAGGTGTGGAAAACGGCTCCTTTCCTACCCATTGGCCCGCACCGTCTCACTGTCGCGGTTCCCAACGAGCCCTTCCAGCTGCGATGCAGCACTTTCTCTTCATACGTGAAAAATCGACTGGGCCCTCTGAAGTCTTATTTAAACTTGGGTTGGATTAATTTCTCTTCCCTGATTGTGTCTAGGGCACAAAAAGATCCTCCTTCCCTGCAAGCACTGCGTTGATTAATTACAGCCCTGCAAAGGGCAGCTTCTGCTCTTGATATTTTTAATTTTTTTAGCTTATTTAACAATTTCCTCTTCTCTCCTCTCTCCTCAGCTTAGCTCAGCTGCATGAAATATGGGAGACGACAGGCCGTTTGTGTGCAATGCCCCCGGCTGTGGACAGGTACGTTTACAGTATACTTTATTGTGAATGTGTCGTTGTGAATCAAAGTGGCTGTTTTATCACTGAGGCAAAGAGTTTAAAGCCGGTGTTTTACGTGATCACTGGAGGTAATCAGATCAGAGGATTTGCAGTGTGTAAATTCAGGTTATGAGCAAGTGCAGGCACTCCAAAGTAATGAAATCTGCCTTGCTTTGTGGTGTATTGTTATTCTGCCGGTGTTTTCCATGAGACCCACACAGCCCAGAGAAAACATGCTGATCTCCTGTTAATGTTTTCTGATAACATTGCTCATCTTCTTTCAAGGCTATTTAACCAAAGGACAGATATTCGTTCTCTGTCGGGATGAGTTAGCTGCTATAGCATATTCCGTAAAGCAGCTGAGAATGTGACAGTTGATGGTTTGTGTTATGCGAACCCCAAACTGCCATAGTCTATTTTGGGCTTGCCGAAAAAAAAAAAAAAAAAAAAGACCCATTGTGAATTTTTCCTCCACGGACAGCATGCTAGAGTTGACTGTGGCCTTGCAAAACTTCTGCTCGCTTTCTCAGGGCAAACAATTATTGCTCCGTATGAGTCACATCTCCTTTTCAATCATCCGACCCTTCTCGTAGGCCTGCCTGCCTGGGAAGGCACCTTTCCATTGCCTTTTGCGGGTTTTGCAATGAAGTTAGTGCTTTTCCCAAAGCCGAGCTTACGGTCTCTCCGGCGCTCAGTGGCGCAGTGTCTCGGCAGCTCACGTGCCGTATTAATGGGAGGAACAGGAGGATTGTGCAGTTATTGCTGGGGATATTTTAAGGGGGGCTATTAGATACTGGGGCTTCTGTGGAAGTTACAGCCCTGTGCAGGGTCCAGGGAGAATTGGGTTTGTCTGTTCTGAAGTGTTTGAACCTCCGAATGCTGAGACGCCTTTTGTAGGGGAAGGAGGGGGGAGGGGGGGAATTGTGGCTTTTAATTAGATAATAAGTGATGCACACACATTTTGTTTTCTTGGCTGCAACCATTGGATGTTGGGTTGCCAAACTGTTACGGCTGTGACGCGTTTGGGAGCTCTAACTGATCCCAGGGTACTCCCCCAGTCCCCGTCCCCCCGCCCTGTTCTTCAGTGTACTTAATATCTCAATGCCTCTTGTGGGTCTCTCAATTGAAATTAAAGATAATTCTGCATCCCCAGGGCAAGTCCTCTGAGACTGCATCTGAATTCTGTGACGCATTTATTTTTATAGCACAGAAATGGGTCAGAAATCTGATCTGGCAACTGTTGGGGACTGGGAGTCTTTAAAAATACACAGTTAGGACTTCTCAGCTTTTTGGTCATTCTAGTCTCATCTGAAGCATTTTCCATCCACTTGCAGGTGATCTTCCTCTTTTTTCTTTTTTTTTTTTTTTTTTTTTTGTAGGCTGCTTTTTATCTTGAACTTCTTTGCCTGTGAAATTGTGCAAGTCATTTATAAAATGTATTAGCTGTATTTGAGCACTTAATGATGTGAGGACTTCAATCATACAACCTTAAAATCGGATTCAAACAAGCAATTAAGGCAAACAACAATGTATTTAAATTTAATCTCCCACAATCTCCCACAAATGACATATAAAGGTGGTTGCTTCCTCCTTTCGCTGTTCCAGACTGCTGCTTATGGGTAATTCTGACAATTCTTCATGTTAATATTGAAATGTTAGAATCCGGGTAATTCATACTGGTATGATTCATTGTGATCTAACCTGACCTCGTGCACAGTTTCCTAGAACGTCCTTCAATACCTGTTCAAACCAGAGCATGTATTAAATAGTGATGATCCAAGCTTGATTTAAAATATTTCCAGTGATGGAAAATTCACCACAGCCCTTGGTTAAGTTGTTCTAATAGTTAATTGCTCTCACTAGTAAGGAAAAATTATGCCTTATTTCCAGTCTAAACCTGTTCGGCTGCAGCTTCTAGGCTGTGGATCTTGTTAATTTTTGTTTTTTAGACAGAAGATCCTTCCTATCAAATTTCTGATGTCTGTAGGTGTTTGCTGACCGATCAAGTCATCCCTTAACAGCCCTTCGGAGCCCCAAGCTTCCCCCTGTGAGTCTAGTGTCTGACAAGCATTTTTTTGTCCTCTATTCTGTACATCAGCTTCGCGTTGAAGGTTTTTAAGAGCCTTTGCAAATCCTGCTCACCACTAACACGCAGCAGGTACCGCTGTAGAACCGCAGTGGTACCCGAGAGCCGTACAGACCGTCGTCAAAGGACCATCACTAAAATTAATGCTCAGTGAGCTGTGCTTTCTGGGGCAGGTGGAGTAAAACTGGCTTGTTGCGATGAGCTGGACAGGTTAGTGCAATTGGTAGCTTTGAATATTAAAAATAAATCAGAATTTGAAGTTGAGGGGCTGATGGTGGCCAACAGCTGTCTGCAGGGTTCGACCTCTGACGCACGTGCTGCATTGTTTCCCCAGCAGCTTGTGCTGCCTTTTGGCACTAAACACTGACCCTTGACAAGCCACCGTGGATCGTCCCATCAGAAATGGCTTCTTCGTGTGGACTCGTGTTCAAGTGAAGCCTTAATGAGGGTCAGAGGGGACTGCACCTATCTCTGGTCATTCCCTCATTCCTGAAGATTGAGACCCTTTTCTTCAAACAGAGGGGACAAAAAGGGCAATCAGCTCTCTGTGATCTGCTACAGAAACATCCTGACCTTCCCACCGGAGCTGAGTGCCTGTGGCTCCTGACAGAGTCTGTACAATTCAGAGTTTTGAGCTTTCTGGAAGGTAATCTGATTTTTTTCGCCCAGGCACACAGATGCACACCCAGGCAGTTCTGTGTCATTTACTTACAGCACAGGAAGCTTTTTCCCAGCTCAAAACCAAGCCAGACTGTGGCCAGCATTGGAGAGGGAGACTTCCTTGCTGGATTCAGCCTTTTTTTTTTTTCTGATTCTTTAAGCCCTTTGGGTGCTTTTTGCTTATTTTGAATGGGAGGGTATCGGTGGCTGTTGAGCTGCTGTGACTATCAGGGTCAACATTTTTGGGACAACGCCTGGCTCACTGTGTCTTTTCACTGTGGTGGCTCCAGCGTCTCCATTCCTTTCTCTCATTTCTAAACCTTTGATCCCATGCCCAATCCATTGGCATGTTTTTAATCCCTGCAGATTCTTGCTCTTTTGGGTATTCCCCTGTTTGAGGGGTGTACTCTGGTTTTGGTGGGTTGCTCCCATGGGAACAGGCTGCTTTGCTCCTGAGTAAGTTGGGATGGGCTTTGGATTTCACTGTGAGCTGGGGCAGTGGGCATGGGGACAAATCACCAAGTCCTTTTCCGCTCGCTAAAATTAGCGATCTGCCTCTTGCAAACGCCGCGCTGAGACGTGCAGCAGCATGGGAGGTCACGGGGGAAGGAGAAGGGAGAGCAGAGCCAAACTAATTTGGACAGGGGACTGGAGACAATTACTGTGAAACCTGTGGTGATTTTCCCCCTTTAGTTTAAAGGAAAAAAAAAAAAAAATTTTGCTTCCTCATGTCATTTTTTTGAACCATTGGCTGCTTCTTTCCCTTTACAGCTGGTACCAGCCCCGTCTTTTATGCTACATGCCCTTTTTTCCTCCTTTCCCTTTGCTGTTTCTACGTAGAAAAAGGCTGTAAATCTCACTTTTCAGGGGAGTGAGGAGGGGGAAGAGAGAATGGCCTCTGAAAATAGATGAGCAGACCTGCTGTACCCCCCATATCATCACAGCTAGTGGGCTTTCAGTGGGTATGTAAACATGTTTTGGTTGCTAGGTCTTTAATGGTTGTTATTTTTGGATTCTGTACACGATCACTTCCCAACAGTGAGTCTGCTGTGACACAGCTGACTTCTAAATGCGCCGCATATACTGCTTTTAAAAAAGATTCTTCTCAAGGTCATTGATCTGGTCTCTTCTCTAAGAGGACAGGTGACACATTTTTCCCTGACCCCCTGGCCCTCTCTGTGTAGAGAGAGAAGAGCTATTCTCCAGCAGGGACGTGGCCCCCCCCCGTGCCGCAGTCTGAAGGTGAGGAGGGAGGTAGAGGCAGGCCCCTGCCTCCAAAAGATCTGCAGAAGACGTAGAGCGATGCCTCGAGTAAGGCTTTCATTGAATCTGTTAAGTGAAACTAATCTGGGGGTGGTGTGCGCTGCTAATCATTATTAAAATCTTCTAATCCCCTTTAAAGCATACTGAGTGATGAAAGGCAGCCTCAGCGCGACCAAGTGTTAGCTGTAAACTTCAGCGTTGCCGTTAAAGTTGAAAGGTATTAACTAAGTCTGCATAATGAGACAGCTCTGACTCATTAACACAAGGTAATTAAAACTTCGGCCTTCCCTAAGGCATTTAGAGCAAAGGTCTGGAAGGGAAGCAGGGGCGTTGGGTGCTCTGGTGCTGCTTCGTTACCAAGAGCCGGCGGTGGCTGGAGGAAGTCGCTCGAGGAGTGTCTGGCTCTCTATATCCTTATAAAACTGCGTTAAGCCCTTCTCGGGGTGCCTGATGGCTGATTTGGGCAGGCAAAAAAATGCAGGTTAGTGGAGAGACGTGCCTCTCCAACAGTCGTGCCTCCTCTGCTGAAGGCTTCGGGAGCGCTGGATGCTTGAGGCTTTATGAAGTGTCATAACGGAGGAACATCTTTATTAATAAAACCGTTTTGTCCACTCCTGTTGCCCAAACTAATGGAGGGGCCATAATATTGAATATGTTCTACCGGGATCAAGACTTTCCCAGCCCCTGCCTCCCCACTCCACACCATTTCACTTTTTATAAGTGACACAAATCATCACTCAGGTCCTAATTCCAGCGCTACAGTTATACAGGCCATTTCCTCAAACAATCGTTTGCTTTTTAAACCCACCCTTAATTTAACAATTTATTCCCCTTAAACCCATGCCACTGAGGTGATGCTCATGCAGTGTCCAAGAAACGCGAAGCCCAGAACTTTCATGAGGCCAGAAAATGATTTTTCTTCTTTGTGGTTTATTGTATCCTCTTATCTTGTCATATAATAGAAATAATGTTT